GCAACAACTATCGTTGCATCTCCCTCCTCAGCGTAGTCGGCAAACTATTCGCCAGTGTCGTCTTGGTCGGACTCCAGATTCTTGCTGAAAGAGTGCACCCTGAGTCACAGTGCAGTTTCAGAGCCGAGAGGTCAACCACTGACAAGGAGAAAAGTGCAGGGAGCAGAGAAAAGCCTCGTACATCGCCTTCATTGACCTTACAAAGGCCTTCGAACTCATGAGCAGGGACGGATTCTTCAAGACCCGGCCCAAAATTGGCTCCCCCCCCCCACCCCCCACACTACTCAGCATGATACAATCGTTTCACGAGGACATGAGAGGCACTGTACTCACCTATTTGTGCTTGCGGGGGTTGAGCTCTGGCTCTTTGGTCCCGCCTCTCAACTGTCAGTCAACTGGTGTACAGGTTCCTGAGCCTACTGGACTCTATCATATCTACATTTGAAACTGTGTATGGAGTCAGCCTCCACCACATCACTGCCTAGTGCATTCCATTTACTAACTACTCTGACACTGAAAAAGTTCTTTTTAATGTCTCTGTGGCTCATCTGGGTACTAAGTTTCCACCTGTGTCCCCTTGTTCGTGTTCCACCCGTGCTGAAGAGTTTGTCTTTGTCTACCCTCTCAATTCCCCTGAGAATTTTGTAGGTGGTTATCATGTCTCCCCTTACTCTTCTATCTTTCAGAGACGGGAGTTATAGCTCCTTTAGCCTTTCCTCGTAGATCATACCTCTCAGTTCCGGAACGAGTCTGGTGGCATACCGCTGAATCATCTCTAACTTTGTCTTGTGTTTAACTAAGTATGGACTCCAAGCTGAAGCTGCATATTCCAGGATTGGTCTGACATAAGTGGTATACAGGGTCTTGAACGATTCCTTACATAAGTTTCTAAAGGCAGTCCTTATGTTGGCCAGTCTAGCATATGCCGCTGAGGATATCCTTTTGATGTGGGCCTCTGGGGACAGGTTCGGAGTGATATCAATCCCCAGATCTTTCTCTCAATTTAACTCTTGTACAATTTCACCTCCCAGATGGTACCTTGTGTTCAGCCTTCTGCTCCCTTCGCCTAATTTCATTACTTTGCGCTTTCCTGAGTTGAACTTTAGCAGCCATTTTCTAGACCATTCCAACAGCCTGATCAGGTCGTTTAGTAGTCTCTGTCTATCATCATCTGTCTTGATTCTTTTCATAATTGTTGCATTATTAGCACACATCGAGAGGAATGAGTCTATACCCTCTGGAAGATCGTTTACATATATTAGAAACAGGATGGGTCCAAGTACAGAGCCCTGTGGGACTCCACTGGTGACATCTCGCCATTTTGATGCCCCCCCCCCATCTCTCACAGTTACTCGCTGTTTCCTGTTGCTTAGATACTCCCTTATCCACTGGAGCACCTTACCTTTTACTCCTGCCTGTTGCTCCAACTTCCGTAACAGGGAGCAACAACTTTAGGGAGCCGGTCGGCCGAGTGGACAGCACGCTGGGCTTGTGATCCTGTGGTCCTGGGTTCGATCCCAGGCGCCGGCGAGAAACAATGGGCAGAGTTTCTTTCACCCTATGCCCCTGTTACCTAGCAGTAAAATAGGTACCTGGGAGTTAGTCAGCTGTCACGGGCTGCTTCCTGGGGGTGGAGGCCTAGTCGAGGACCGGGCCGCAGGGGTCACTAAAAAGCCCCGAAATCATCTCAAGATAACCTCAAGATAACAGCCTTCTATAGGGTACAGTGTCAAAAGCTTTCTGAAAGTCCAAGAAAATGCAGTCTGCCCACCCTTCTCTTTCTTGCTTAATTTTTGCTGCTTGATCATAGAACTCTATTAACCCTGTGAAGCACGATTTACCATCTCTGAACCCATGTTGGTGATGTGTTACAAAGCTATTTCCCTCCAGATGCTCTATGAGCCTTTTTCTCATGATCTTCTCCATCACCTTGCATGGTATACAAGTTAGGGAAACTGGCTTGTAGTTCAGTGCCTCTTACAACCACTTGGACTGGACGGTAGAGCGACGGTCTTACTTCATGCAGGTCGTCGTTCAATCTCCGACCGTCCAATTGGTTGGGCTCCATTCCTTCCCCCCGCCCCCACCGTTCGATCCCAAATACGTATCCTGACCCCTTCCAAGTGCTATATAGTCATAATGGCTTAGCACTTTCCCCCTGATAATTCCCTTCCCTTCAGTGCCTCTTGCCTGTCACCCTTTTTGTATATTAGGACTACATTAGCTGTCTTTCAGCTTTCCGGTAGGTCTCCTGTTTCCAGTGGCCTGCTATACACCATAGAGAGTTGCACACTTAGTGCTTCTGCACCTTCTTTTAGTATCCTCGGTGAGATTCCGCCAGGCCCAACAGCTTTTGTCTCAGGTCCATCAGATTCCTTGTGACCTCATCACTGGTGAGGTCAAAATCCTCCAAGGTTGCTTGGTTTGCCTCCTCATTTAGTGCAGGGGCTTCTCCTTGTTCTATTGTGAAGACCTCCTGGAATCTTTTCTTGAGTTCTTCACACACCTCATTGTCATTCTCTGTGTATCTATTCTCCCTTTTTCTCAGTTTCATCACTTGTTCCTTCACCGCTGTTTTCCTCCTGATGTGGCTGTGGAACAGCTTTGTTTGGGTCTTAGCTTTACTCACGAAGTCATTTTCATAGTGTCTCTTTGCTTCTCTCCTCACTCTGAGGTACTCATTTCTTGCCCCTCTAGTATTTCTCCCTGCTCTCTGGCGTTCTGTTATTTCTGTAGTTTCTCCATGTTCTTTTACTCAATTGCTTTGCTACCTTACATTCCTGGTTGACCCATGGATTCTTCTGTTGCTTTTCGCTTTTCTCCTTTTGAACCGGGATAAATCTATCTGCAGCTTCCAGGCATTTCTGGGTGACATAGTCCATCATATCCTGTACAGTCTTCTCTCTGAGTTCTGTTTCCCATAATATTCCCCTTTGGAAGTTCCTCATCTCATCTTATTTTCCTCTTCGGTAATTCAGTCTTTTTTCCTTCCGATCCCATCCTTGGATATGTTATCCCTACCTCTACCAAGATACTCAAATGTCAATACACTGTGGTCACTCATTTCTATGGGGGTTTCAAATTTGACTTCTCTTATTTCTGACTCATTCAAAGTGAATATCAAGTCGAGTCTAGCTGGTTTGTCATTGCCTCTCATTCTTGTGGGTTCCCTGACATGTTGGCCCAGAAAGTTCCTTGTTGCTACTTCTAAGAGTTCAGCTCTCGATGTATCTGCACCACCGTGTGGGTCCCCATTCTCCCAGTCTATCTTTCCATGGTTGAAATCGCCCTTGATTAAGAATCTGGATCCATTCCTGCAGGCAACTGAAGCTGCTCTCTATTATATTAATGGTAGCCATGTTGTTTCTATTAAACTCCTGTCTGGGTCTTCTGTCATTTAGTGGAGGGTGTAAATGACTGCCACTATTATCTTAGGTCCACCCATTGTCATAGTTCCTGTTATGTAATCTCTGAACCCGTCACTGTGTTATGATTTAGAGGATCTCACAAGTACAATATTAGTAACATATCTGTTATCACCCATCTCAGACTGTAGGAGTGTATTTGCATAGTGTATCTCATATACATTTGGTGGGCTGTTGTATTATGTTTTATGATGTATTAGAATATATGACTATTATATACCTATGTCTGAGGAAGAGAGCTTGCATTAAGTGGACAGGAAGTGTTCATGTTCAATACATGTGCAGTGAGGGAGAAAGGCAGAGCCGGGCTGTCTGTCTTGCCCTCTTGTTATATCCTTATATAAGTAATTGTTTAGTTCAACCATTTAAGAATGTTATACTTTTAGTTATCAATGTATGAAATAGTATGTTAGTATGATTATATAAGTTTGATGGGAATTATTTCAGTCTGTAGTATGTTAGTAAAGAATTATTAATCAGACGTGGTGACTGGGGACGAGAAAGGACTCAGCTCACGTCGCCTTAAGCAGTCAGTAGCAAATGTGAGGTCTTGTGTCAACAGTGTGTCAGTTAAGTAGTATGAGTGTGTCCCTAGCTTAAGGATGTTTAAGCCGTCTGGCATTCTAATAACAGAGATTATTCATATATCTTGAGGTTATCTTGAGATGATTTCGGGGCTTTTTAGTGTCCCCGCGGCCCGGTCCTCGACCAGGCCTCCACCCCCAGGAAGCAGCCCGTGACAGCTGACTAACACCCAGGTACCTATTTTGCTGCTAGGTAACAGGGGCATAGGGTGAAAGAAACTCTGCCCATTGTTTCTCGCCAGCGCCTGGGATCGAACCCAGGACCACAGGATCACAAGTCCAGCGTGCTGTCCGCTCGGCCGACCGGCTCCCCGAACATTGAACATCAACGGTGTTAAATACGGCTGCGTCCTTCCTCCAACCCTGTACGGGATCTTCTTCACGATACTCGTGAAGCATGCCTTAAGAATGACCACAGAGGGCAGCAATCTCTGTACAAGATCTGTACGGATTCATCTTATTTATACAAACTAAATACCCACCAAACACACACCGAAACTACGACGTTGGTACAACGTTCGAACAAGTTTTAACACCTCCTAACCAGTTATAACAACCAATATAGCAAGTTGTAACAACGTTCTAATACGTCATAAACACGTTAAGCCAAGATGTAACAACTTTATTACAAGTTGTAACAAGCGGAAAATAGAGACAGTTACGGTTTGTGTTTCCAGGGCAATTAGATTAGAAAACCCACTGCTGGTGCCACTCTGTGGATATGAAAAGTCACTACCCTTTAAGTACTCTACAAATGTAGAGGTTCGTATCCTGGCCGGGGAGGATTTACTGGCCGCAATTCCTTAACTGTAGCCTCTGTTTAACGCAACAGTAAAATGTGTACTTGGATGCAACAACGATTCTTCGCGGCAGGGGATCGTATTCCAGGGACCATAGGATTAAGGACTTGCCCGAAACGCTACGCGTACTAGTGGCTGTACAAGAATGTAACAACTCTTGTATATAATCTCAAAAAATACAAAGAACGTACCCTTGTAACAATAGCCGCTATCTGGGTGGTGACATCTGGAGAAAGCCACGCTAACTGCAGGATGTTCATGCCACCTGTGGTGGAGGTAAGTGGTGCCCCAGCACTCAGGAGAAGAGGCAGGAGGTCGGTGCAGTTGGTGGTGATGGCTAGGTGTAGCACGAACACAGTGTGACCCGCTGTCGGCTCCAAGGGTGCTCCGGAGACCAGAAGGCGTGTCACTTCTTTGACGGAACTGACGCGACGTGAATATTCCTCTGTATCACCGACCACAGCAGAGGCTTCCAACTCCACACAGCTCACTTTTTCCAAAAGTCGCCCATACAGGTGCACTCGCTGCCGCCTAGACTGTTTACACAATTATTTATTGAAAATCAACTGTATAAGGATAAGCTTAAACACACACACTAATTTATATATATATATATATATATATATATATATATATATATATATATATATATATATATATATATATATATATATATATATATATATTTAAAAGTTTGTGAGGGTACCACCTCTGGCGCCAATGTGGGGACCCATAGCCTCGGAGAAGAAAATAAAAAGTATTCAGAGGAGACCTTGTGGTTTCTCACTGAACACTAATATTATCTTCTCCTACCACCCCCATTCTTTTGTATGTACACATCTATATATTTACTTTATTTGAACTTTGTTACAAAAAAGAAATTACATATGGGTTACAAAGATGGTTATCATAGGTTGTCGTATATATTTATATATACATATATATATATATATATATATATATAAGGAAATGTTCGTTTGTTCAAAAACGCTAATCTCCGAAAGTTCTTCACCGATTGCTTTGAAATTTTCACGCTACGTTCCATTCGCCTCCGAGCGGGTTTTTATATACCTACTATATAGATGCCACCCTTGTGACGGGTAAAAAACATGCTTTTTTCTGAAAAACTGTGTTTTTCATGTGTTTTTCATGTGAGGGGACGTCTTCGAAACCTCTTTACCCATTGTTTTGAAATTTTGACACACCGTTGCATTTGAATAGGCGCGTGTTTTTATATACCTACTATATAGATGCCACCCCTGTGACGGGTAAAAACATGCGTTTTTGAAAAACAGCGCCATCTGTTGCACGTAATGGCAACATGCATACTGTACTAAATACGCCACGAATTCTATTTCGATGTTTCCGATTGGATTGATAAATTTTATTTTCATAGATTTCGATATATTTTATTTTTTAGTGAATTAATTTGTGTAACATTATGTTGGAATTGAGCTGTGTTGTTTACAATACCGTTCGTTTCGTAAGTATAAGTATAGATGCCACACCTGTGACAGGTAAAACTATGCTTTTCTTAAAAAAACAGCGCCATCTGTTGCATGTAGGAGCAACACACATGCTATACTAGATATGTTACAATTCCATTTCAATGTTTCTGATTGCATTGATAAATTGAATTTTTCTAGATTTTTATTTATTTTAATTTTGATTTAATTATTGCGTGTGAATTGTATTGGAATTCAGCTGTGTTGTTTACCAGACCATTCATTTCGTGAGAATAGTTTAATTATATATTTTTTTCATATTTTCATTTCATTTTTTAACAGTTTTTCTTATATTACAGTAATGGGAACATCAGATCACTTGAAGTTCCCAATTTTCTGATGTGAAAATCAGACCATTTGGGAAGGCATCGGACGAGGAAGTGGGAAATGGTGGGGATGACGAGGGGACGAGGGAGTTTGGGATGGTATGGACGAGGGGATGGAGGAATAGAGAATGGTGGAGAGGACAAAGGGACAGGGGAGTGGGGCATGCTGGGAAGGAAGAGGGGATGTTGGAGTGGGGAGGACGAGGGGACGGTGGATTGGGGAATGGTGGGGAGGACTGGGGGACAGGGAATGTTGTTGTGGTTCACAACAACACAGTCACAGCAACGCGTGGTCGGGAACTGCTAGTATATATATGTATATATATATATATATATATATATATATATATATATATATATATATATATATATATATATATATATATATATGACAATGTCAGACCACGGAGGAAAAATGAAACAGGAATTTCCTTAAGTACTTTCGTATATTAAATACATCTTCAGAAAGTGAAGATGTATTTAATATACCTTCTGAAGATGTATTTAATATACGAAAGTACTTAAGGAAATTCCTGTTTCATTTTTCCTCCGTGGTCTGACATTGTCACATTCTTAATCACGTGTTTATTTTCGTGATATACACACACACACACACATATATATATATATATATATATATATATATATATATATATATATATATATATATATATATATATATATATATATATATATATATATATATATATATATATATATATATTGTTCGCATATGTGTTCCTCACGTGTGCCCCAAAGAATGAGGTGATTTAGACTTGACCACCCATTTCCAGGGAATGAATTACCCAGAAACAGGTATAGATTATCTTAGAATAGTCAAAAGGATTAAGGAGTTAGAGAATAAGTATGAAAGATTAAAGGAAAAGCATCACTGAACACACAATATCTTTATAAAGGAAAATGTAAATATTCGTTTGTTTAAAATCGCTAACGTCCGAAAGTTCTTCATCAATTTGAAATTTTCACACAACGTTCCATTTGCATCAGGGCGGGTTTTTATATACCTACTATATAGATGTCTCGTCTGTGACGGGAAAGAATTTTTTTTTTAGAAAAACTGTATTTTTCATATGAGGGAAATTTTCGAAACCTCTTTACTGATTGCTTTTAAATTTTGACACAATGATGCATTCGAATAGGCGCGTGTTTTTATGTTCCTGAACAAATCCACAAGGGGCCGTGACGAGGATTCGAACCTGCGTCCGGGAGCATCCCAGACACTGCCTTAATCGGCTGAGCTACGACAGGGTTAAAAGGGTTGATTCTGAAGTTCTACTGAACTTACTGGATCCCGTAGCCTCTCCGAGGCATAAACCAGGATTTTACACAACCCCCCCCCCTGCACCCGAGCTATGTCAATAGCTCTGTATCTCTGTCAATCATCTCTGTATACTTTGTCCAATGTGACAAATTTTTGTCCAATTTTGTCCAAATGACAAAATCATTTTTTTTGTGGTGTCGACTGGGACGTTGGTAAATAGGGATTCGATGTCCAGGGAAGCAATGATTCCATCGAGTTGTGTAGTTTTGATTAATTCTAGGAAATCTGTTGTTGATTGTAGACTATAGTTGCTTGGAGTGCATGGAGTTAGGAGTTCGATAAGTCTTTTTGCCAGGTGATAGGTTGGAGTTGGTATTTGGCTGATTATTGGGCATAGTGGGTTACCTGGTTTGTGTGTCTTAACATTGCCATAGGCATATCCTAAGCCATAGTTGCCTTGAAGTTTATTGAAATGAACACTACCTTTCTTTGCGTTGATTGCAGTAATAATTTTGTTCACTTTGCGTTTAAGGTCTTCCACGGGGTTCCTCGTGATTCGTTGAAATTTGGTGTCATCACTAAGGATGTCGCTAATTTTGTTCATGTATTCTTGGGTAGGAATCAATACATATGCTGCTGTTTATGCTTATTGTCACATCTTTCAGATTTTTTAGTGGTTTTGCTGCTTTTTTGAGTCGTGGGGTTAAGATTGTAGATGAATATGTTCCTCGTTTTTTTCCCCGGCTTCTGTTAGTAGTTCAGCCTGAAGTGTGCCAGTGCTGAGGACTTTCTTGTTGTCGTCTAACATGTGGATGTCGTCCAGAAGCATTTCGATTTCAAGGCGTTTTTGATGCTTCTTTGGTCTTGATATGAATTGGCAGTTTAGGCCAAGGGTTATGTAGCCATCTTTTGGACGAGGGATGTTTAACTGTCCACCGTTGACGGCTGTCAGCTTTCGGAGTGTCCTTGTTTTGACATGCGTGTGTATTGTTGTTTTAGGGTTGATAGTTCACTGTTGATGGTTTGCTTGAGTTGGCTGGGGAGGTCGTACTGGGTTCATTTAATTAACTGATGTTCAGCTTGCTCTGTAAGGCTTCGGAGGGCTTCCTTCTTCGTGTTGAGTTGATGCCGTAGATCTTGCCTATACCTACAGGTAAACTTTGCATTGCGGACTGCTGGGTCATGTGGGTTTATATTGGTGTATACTGGCAGTAGGTTTTCTTTTATGCATGTTTCATTGAATATGACAGCATATTCCATCAGCATACATGACAGCATATTTTTTCTGATTTAGGGCTTCCATCTCTCTTGCTCGTGCTCTAGCAGCTTCAAGTTCAGCTGGAGTTGGAGTTCACCAAATGTCATGTTCGTTTTCAAGGTGAAGAACGAGAATTGAATGTTCGTTTTCAAGGTGAAGAACGAGAATTGAATAACTGAAAAACGTATTACACTTATTATAAAATCGCACGACGTTTCGAACCTACATGGTTCATTCTCAAGTGTTCATTCAGGTTCATTCTTCAGTACATTATATGTATATATATATATATATATATATATATATATATATATATATATATATATATATATATATATATATATATATATATATATATATGACAATGTCAGACCACGGAGGAAAAATGAAACAGGAATTTCCTTAAGTACTTTCGTATATTAATACATCTTCAGAAGGAGTGAAGATGTATATTAATACATCTTCAGAATACATCTTCACTCCTTCTGAAGATGTATTAATATACGGAAGTACTTAAGGAAATTCCTGTTTCATTTTTCCTGCGTGGTCTGACATTGTCACATTTTTAAATCACGTGTTTATTTTCGTGATATACACACATATATATATATATTAGTATATTTTGGTAGCAGTCTTTCCTGTAGACATATATTATTAAATATGACCGAAAAAGTAAGATTAATAATTCTAACACGAATTTTCTCAATCTTTCGTACATTTCTTTTCACTGTTGGAGGTAATTCAAAAATCAATTCTCCAAAATTCATTTTTATTTCTAGTCTGACGCGACACGAGCGCGTTTCGTAAAACTTATTACATTTTCAAAGACTTTTAGTTTACAAATACACAACTGAATAGAACTTACACATCTCCTGGTTTCGTTTATATCTACATTTGAGTGAGGTGGATGGGGTGAGGTGGCATTAATAGGGTATTAATTTCATCAACACAAGACAGAACAAGAGGTGGCATTAATAGGGTATTAATTTCATCAACACAAGACAGAACACGAAACAATGGGTATTGAAATTGAAGTGATTGTAGAAAGCCTATTGGTCCATATTTCTTGATGCTTCTATATTGGAGCGGAGTCTTGAGGTGGGTAGAATGTAGTTGTGCATTAATTGGCTGTTGATTGCTGGTGTTGACTTCTTAATGTGTAGTGCCTCGCAAACGTCAAGCCGCCTGCTATCGCTGTATCTATCGATGATTTCTGTGTTGTTTACTAGGATTTCTCTGGCAATGGTTTGGTTGTGGGAAGAGATTATATGTTCCTTAATGGAGCCCTGTTGTTTATGCATCGTTAAACGCCTAGAAAGAGATGTTGTTGTCTTGCCTATATACTGGGTTTTTTTGGAGCTTACAGTCCCCAAGTGGGCATTTGAAGGCATAGACGACGTTGGTCTCTTTTAAAGCGTTCTGCTTTGTGTCTGGAGAGTTTCTCATGAGTAGGCTGGCCGTTTTTCTGGTTTTATAGTAAATCGTCAGTTGTATCCTCTGATTTTTGTCTGTAGGGATAACGTTTCTATTAACAATATCTTTCAGGACCCTTTCCTCTGTTTCCCCTTTCGAACTGTTATTTATATTTATATATATATATATATATATATATATATATATATATATATATATATATATATATATATATATATATATATATATATATATATTAGTGTGTGTGCGTGGGCGTGAAGCTTGAGTGGGTGACAAATCAAGCTATATACTGAATATGAAAGAAAGGATGACATGAATGGAGTCTGACAGGAATCTTCTCTATTTCTTATATTTCTCTTCATTTGAGAAGAAAGTTGAAAAATTAACTCTCCAAAGAACTAACACTAAGAGATGCATTTCCTTAAATTTTGTCATGAAAGGTAGAGTTGGTTGCTTAACATTCCAGGAGATAATTAAGTAACTCGTAGCCTGGTGGATAGCGCGCAGGACTCGTAATTCTGTGGCGCGGGTTCGATTCCCGCACGAGGCAGAAACAAATGGGCAAAGTTTCTTTCACCCTGAATGCCCCTGTTACCTAGCAGTAAATAGGTACCTGGGAGTTAGTCAGCTGTCACGGGCTGCTTCTTGGGGGTGGAGGCCTGGTCGAGGACCGGGCCGCGGGGACACTAAAGCCCCGAAATCATCTCAAGATAACCTCAAGATGGTCTTTCTGTGATTGTGTCGCAGAAGATGCATCCTCACTCTCTGGATTCACTAATTTCCCAGATGCATCTGTAACCTAGATGTAGTCTATATAATCGAACTGTTATTTCCCTGTGGATTCCTTTCGGGTTATTTAACCTGTCTAACATGATGGCCTGAAGATACCTTATTGCAGAGGGCGAACCTTCTGCTACTCTCTGGTGTAGATGGGCTTTATTGAGATGGGAGTATTTTGGCGTTTTTTTTATGTAGTCTAGGCTGGGTTGGATTCTATTGTGGATCACTGGGTGACAAGTTGCCAATTTAGCGGTTTCATCAGCTGTCTCATTTAATGGAATTCCAACATGGGGTGGGATCCAATTTAGGGTGATGTTGAGTTCTTTGCCTTTAGCTACAGCATCTGGTTGATACCTGGTTGATGGGGTTCTGGGAGTTCTTCTACTCCCCAAGCCCGGCCCGAGGCCAAGCTTGACTTGTAAGAGTTTGATCCACTATTCTGTTGCTTGGAGCGGCCCGCAGGCCCACATATACCTGGTTGATGGGGTTCTGGGAGTTCTTCTACTCCCCAAGCCCGGCCCGAGGCCAAGCTTGACTTGTAAGAGTTTGATCCACCAGGCTGTTGCTTGGAGCGGCCCGCAGGCCCACATATACCTGGTTGATGGGGTTCTGGGAGTTCTTCTACTCCCCAAGCCCGGCCCGAGGCCAAGCTTGACTTGTAAGAGTTTGATCCACTATTCTGTTGCTTGGAGCGGCCCGCAGGCCCACATATACCTGGTTGATGGGGTTCTGGGAGTTCTTCTACTCCCCAAGCCCGGCCCGAGGCCAAGCTTGACTTGTAAGAGTTTGATCCACCAGGCTGTTGCTTGGAGCGGCCCGCAGGCCCACATACCCACCACAGCCCGGTTGGTCCGGCACTCCTTGGAGGAAACAATCTAGTTTCCTCTTGAAGATGTCCACGGTTGTTCTGGCAATATTCCTTATGCTCGCTGGGAGGACGTTGAACAACCGCGGACCTCTGATGTTTATACAGTGTTCTCCGATTGTGCCTATGGCACCTCTGCTCTTCACTGGTTCTATTCTGCATTTTCTTCCATATCGTTCACTCCAGTACGTAGTCATTTTACTGTGTAGATTAGGGACCTAGCCTTCCAGTATCTTCCACGTGTTTGTTTTTTGATAATTCTCTCGTCTTCTCTTTAGTGAGTACCTTTGGAGGGCTTTGAGACGATCTCAATAATTTTGGTGCTTTATCGCGTCTATGCGTGCCTATGTTCGTCTATGAATGATCTCTGTATTCCCTCTATTTCAGCAATCTCTCCTGCTCTGAAGGGGGAAGTGAGTACTGAGCAGTACTCAAGACGGGACAACACAAGTGACTTGAAGAGTACAACCATTGTGATGGGATCCCTGGAATTGAAAGTTATCGTAATCCATCCGATCATTTTTCTGACTGACGCAATATTTGCTTGGTTATGCTCCCTAAACGTTAGGTCGTCAGACATCATTATTCCCAAATCCTTTACATGCTGTTTTCTTACTATGGGTACATTTGATTGTGTTTTGTACCCTGTATTATGTTTAAGGTCCTCATTTTTACCGTACCTGAGTATTTGGAATTTATCACTGTTAAACATCATGTTATTTTCTGATGCCCAGTCGAAAACTTTATTAATATCAGCTTGAAGTTTTTCAATGTCCTCAGCCGAGGTAATTTTCATATTGATTTTTGCGTCATCTGTAAAGGATGATACTAAGCTGTGACTTGTATTTTTGTCTATATCTGATATGAGAATAAGGAAAAGCAGCGGTGCAAGGACTGTACCCTGAGGTACAGAGCTTTTAACTGCGCTTGGACTAGATTTTATATGGTTGACAGTTACTCGCTGAGTCCTGTTTGACAGAAAACTGAGTATCCAGCGTCCTACTTTACCGGTTATTCCCATTGACTTCATTTTGTGTGCTATCACGCCATGGTCACATTTATCGAGAGCCTTTGCGAAGTCCGTGTATATCACATCAGCATTCTGTTTTTCTTCTAATGCCTCAGTGACTTTGTCGTAGTGCTCAAGTAGCTGTGAGAGGCACGATCTTCCCGCTCGAAATCCATGTTGGCCTGGGTTGTGAAGGTCATTGGTCTCCATGAAATTGGTGACCTGACTCCTAATCACACTCTCTCAAATACTTTTGTGATGTGCGATGTTAGTGCAACTGGTCTATAATTTTTTTTGATTTGGATGTGCCTGTGATTTGATCAGTGTCCTGGGTGGACCTGACTGACTTCAATGAGGGGGCCTGACGACTGAGTGGACAGCGCTCTGTATTTGTAGTTCTAAGGTTCAGGGTTCGATCCTGGCGGAAACAAATGGGCAGAGTTTCTTTCACCCTGATGCCTCTGTTCACCTATCAGTAAATAGGTACCTAAGAGTTAGACAGCTGCTACGGGCTGCTTCCTGGGGATGTGTAACAAAAAGGAGGCCTGGTCGAGGACGCTAAGCCCAGAAATCACCTCAAGACAACCTCAAGACAACCTCAAGATAACCTCAAGATAAGATGACCCTGGCGGAGAGCACCGAGGAGGCCTTGCTCGGAAAATATAAATTCAATTAATAATGGTAAAAAAAATCAATATTTATATCGCATTCAAGATAAAACCATACAAGCAAATTCTTTACATCATATCCCTTATATATGATCTCTATATACTTATTAATCTGTTCCTCGGGTTCTTCCACTGTTTGTTGTTTTAGATTCAGCTACTCAGAATAAGAAGTTCCAGTAGCACGGACTATGGTGAGCCCGTAAGTGGAGGCTTTTTGGAACCATTATCTGTATCAATAGCTGATACTAGAGATCTGGCAATGGATGGGGGGTCTTCATGGTGGTTTTCAACCCTAGAGGGCTGGCTGTATGGGTTCTTCCACTTGATCTATATTATATACCAAGAACAGCCATGGATCCCCATGCACATGGGCCTCGTAGGCCTCGGGGGGGGGGGGGATTAGGGGCCTCGTAGCCTGGTGGATAGCGCGCAGGATTCGTAATTCTGTGGCGCGGGTTCGATTCCCGCACGAGGCAGAAACAAATGGGCAAAGTTTCTTTCACCCTGAATGCCCCTGTTACCTAGCAGTAAATAGGTACCTGGGAGTTAGTCAGCTGTCACGGGCTGCTTCCTGGGGTGAACAGTTGATTGACAGTTGAGAGGCGGGCCGAAAGAGCAAAGCTCAACCCCCGCAAAAACACAACTAGTAAACACAACTAGTAAACACATGCTGCTGAAGCAGACTACTCACCAAGTCAGGTGTGTTGGCGTGAAGCATCTGGGCGATATGAGTGTGCCCCTGGGAGCGAGCGAGGTCGCCAGGTGTCTCAGAGGCGTGGGTCAACGCTTGAGGGTAGGCGCCCACAGACAGGAGAGCGAGCACTGCATCTTGCTGTAATATAAAACATCTTTATTAGGCATTGCATTTTGAAGGTGAAAAGGTGAAGGAATTTTGTAGGTGGGTTAGATGTAATGATCTGGTGCTCAGATCATGATTTCTCCCCTCTCCCCTCCTTCCTTCTCCCTTTCTCCCCTTTTCTCCCATCCCCTTGCCCGTCATTCGTCTCTCCCTCTTCACCCCCCCCCTTCGGCCATTTGTCAAGGGCTAAGAGGTTGACCTGAGGGTGGTCTGGCTAGCTGGCCCTCGCGGTACCTTTGCTTCCCCACTCAGATTTCCCTCTCCATCCACCTCTCAATTTCCTCTCTTCCCCTCTCACCGGTTCCTTCCCCATACCAGGCGAGTCAAATGTCCCTACTCTTTATTTTGGAGGAGACAGGCTTGAACATAATTTATCAGTTTGGCAAACATTGCTCGGAGGTGCACTAGGCTCCGGTGGTCCACTATAGAAGCGCCTTTTTCTCTTTAAATAGCTGGAGAGAGCTGACTCAATCTTCAAGAATTTCATGTATCCTTCCACCGCAGCTCATGGAATGTGATTGGCGGTAGATAAGTGCCAAGTCCTTATTGGCCCTAGAGAGCCAGACCTTAGCCCTAGTGTTAAATGGTTGGTCATTGCCAAAATAAGGGGTGGAACCCTGGGGGTGTATTAGATGGTGGGAGGAGCAATCCTTTCTGGTAAGCTGGTAAAACAAAATTTCGGTAGTGTGTCTTGGGAGTGTGTTGGGAATAGGGACTCGGGCCCGCATCCAAGGGGCTGAGGGCAGCCATCGACATCTTGGCCTCAGTGCGGTTTTAAAGTATTGTGCACTTGATTTCATGTCCTCAGTAGATACCCATTGTGCCTCTAGGGGAATAGAATAAGGTTCATGTTTAAATTATTTTAATTTACATGATTCATAAAATAAATTGTATGACTTGTCCAGTGGTATTCTATTAATTATTAAGGGTATTCTATTCCCTAGATATATTTCTCTACTTTGTCATTTTTTATGTGTTGAATTGGACCCCCCCCCCATGTTCTCTTCCTTTTAATAGATATTAAAGTTGCCCTTGGATTTAAATAAGTAAAGTAAATTAAATAAGCTAATTCCCAACATTTATTACTGAAGTACCTATTACCTGGGAGTTCCATGATTACTGATCCCTTGCCTTCCTGGGGGATCGGTGATAGACACATTCAGGTAGGTTGATCGGGAAGGTGGTGGCAGTGTTTAAGTGATTTTAATTATTAGTTATAAATTAATAATCCGTATTCTTGTGGTGTCCCCCTCATTTAATATTCAGCTTATATTCGTGGCAGTCCAGTGAGGGGTCATACTGGACAGTCCAGTGAGGGGTCATACTGGACAGTCCAGTGAGGGGTCATACTGGACAGTCCAGTGAGGGGTCATACTGGATAGTCCAGTGAGGGGTCATACTGGACAGTCCAGTGAGGGGTCATACTGGACAGTCCAGTGAGGGGTCATACTGGACAGTCCAGTGAGGGGTCATACTGGACAGTCCAGTGAGGGGTCATACTGGACAGTCCAGTGAGGGGTCATACTGGACAGTCCAGTGAGGGGTCATACTGGACAGTCCAGTGAGGGGTCATACTGGACAGTCCAGTGAGGGGTCATACTGGACAGTCCAGTGAGGGGTCATACTGGACAGTCCAGTGAGGGGTCATACTGGACAGTCCAGTGAGGGGTCATACTGGACAGTCCAGTGAGGGGTCATACTGGACAGTCCAGTGAGGGGTCATACTGGACAGTCCAGTGAGGGGTCATACTGGACTGTAACAGTGTTAAGCTGGGGTATTGAGTAAAGAAGAAGGAGGGTAGGAAAGATTCATTCTAGGCAAGATTCAGGGTTATTACATAGAGGTGAGAACTATGCGCACACAAGGGCAAGTAGACATGACTAGGCTTCATTAAATACAAACCTGGCCGCGGTAGGCGGCGTGGTGGAGTGGTGTCCACCCTCGGGCGTCCTGGTAGTGAATGCGGTAAGGTCGCGAGGGAAGATGTGCACTTAAATTAGCTGAGTTCCCGGTCTTGGCCCACTTCAAGGTTATGTTTCCAATACGCTCGTACTCCACCTGGCTCGCTTCCTGATGAAACAACACCAGGGCAGTCAATTTCCAATAAGGTTTTATTTTTATTTGTAAATAGGCTAATGCAAAGTTGTCCATTAAAAGTCCATAGCCTTATGAAAAGGATACGTTAGTCAAATGTTAGGAACAGATTTTACAGACATTTTTGAAGATTGAAGATTAAAGGTGAAGTGATTATCGCCACATGATTAATCCTGGTTATCTTATATGTTATGCTTGAAATCTGCCTCGTAGCCTGGTGGATAGCGCGCAGGACTCGTAATTCTGTGGCGCGGGTTCGATTCCCGCACGAGGCAGAAACAAATGGGCAAGATTACCTTAACAACAATACAAATAATATACATTAATGTCTGATTCTTTAGTCATTAAACTGATGCAAATAAACCCCAGGTTCACATGTTAAATTTACCATCATGTTCAAAAGAACTTTAAATTTTGAAGCAGTCTCCGTGGTGTAGTGGTAAGACACTCGCCTGGCGTTCCGCGAGCGCTATGTCATGGGTTCGTATCCTGGCCGGGGAGGATTTACTGGGCGCAATTCCTTATCTGTAGCCTCTGTTTAACGCAACAGTAAAATGTGTACTTGGATGAAAAAACGATTCTTCGCGGCAGGGGATCGTATTCCAGGGACCATAGGATTAAGGACTTGCCCGAAACGCTACGCGTACTAGTGGCTGTACAAGAATGTAACAACTCTTGTATATATCTCAAGTATAATTTGGAACATTTAGTTATGTTTCAACTGTCTCAATTTGGAACATTTAGTTATGTTTCAACTGTCTCAATTTGGAACATTTAGTTATGTTTCAACTGTCTCAATTTGGAACATTTAGTTATGTTTCAACTGTCTCAATTTGGAACATTTAGTTATGTTTCAACTGTCTCAATTTGGAACATTTAGTTATGTTTCAACTGTCTTGTCTGTTATTATAATTGGTATATAACATCCAAATCTACCTTATGATATAGTTATGCCTCGTTGAGCCACACAGCAACAGCACTCCTGACCTGGTTGTGCAACCTGTTCTCAGGGGGGAGACTCCCTGGGGGTAATGTATTCAAAACCACTACATAATTAGTGCTATTATCCACTCACTATCCATGGTTAGATTAGCGTAAGGTTATTTTAGGTTAAGGCTTGGTTAGGTTAGGTTAGGTTAGGTTAGGTTAGGTTAGGTTAGGTTAGGTTAGGTTAAGGCTTGTTTAGGTTAGGTGACGTTTCACCATGTTTGGTTGTGTTAATACGGTGTATTATTCACAAAAATGTGAAATATGGATTCGTAAATTATTTAGTGTACCCGAGAATTTCCTTTACAAAAAATTGAAGTCTTCAGACAGTTTCAAAGAAAATGTATTCTACCTATACTTGTTGTATTTGTTGTATTTTCAACCAATGATTTATAATTCAATTAATTTATAACTTGAGAATATTCTCTGTTTAGGACAAAGGGTCACTTGCCAATATAAATGTAGACTATTACTGTAACCATAAATGCTTTCAGACCATCACAAATTATCTAGATAACTATTCAGGAGGTTTGAGATCGGGAGGAGAGGGGGGGTTGTAACAGTGCAAGTATTTTGCACTCTTTCAGGTATAATTGTGAACTGTAATTGGGAGTTGTGTGTGTGTGTGTGTGCGTGTGTGCGTGTGTGCGTGTTGGTGAGGAGCGAGATGGTAGGAGCGTTGCTGGCTGGCTCAGTTTTGTTGACATGGCAGTACTTAACAACGACCTTGTGTACTGTCGGACCACCGGCCTGGGACCTATAGGGGCTAGTTTTGCATATATGTGTCCTTATTTGGGCACGAGGAAAAGTACAACCCCCCCCCACCACCCCCCCGATTGGGGGTGGCAAGGAGTGGTTATATATGTCCTGTTGGGCAGTTTAGGATGAGTTAGTGACCACCTTGCACAGAGAGAAGGTGACCAGCCGTCTTTCCCACCCTGAGAGTGGACCCGTCTGATTTAAGAGGTAAGAGTACCAGTTAATGCATCGTCTTGAACAGGAGTGTCTTAGTGGTGACTTGTGTAGGGTAATAGGTTACCAGTAAGCAAGTATGGTTGAGGAATGGGTTAAGTAGTTGGATTCCCCTTTTGTAATTAATTCAATGTTAATATCAAAAAATTGGGAAAGTGTTAAAAAGTGCAGAACTAGTATTCAATTCCTAAAAATGGAAATAAATGTCAAAGTGTAGAATAACAAAGTTTGAGTTTTGTTCATTACTCTTTTTGAATCAATGTTCCCTCAAGTAAGAGTTAAGGCTAGAGATAACTAGATGAACAAGTGAGAAATTAAGCAGTGTTCCTGTCGCATTGTTTAAGTGGAATTAAGATTTAGTTTGCAAATGACAGGTGGTGGCAGCTTAAATATGTAAAGTAAAATTGACATCAGTATAACATCATTTAGAGAATAACATCAGTCCACTCTCTCTATTACTTCTCCTCCTACATCACACGAGGAAAATTCCTCCTTCCTATTCCTATTCCTCCTTCCTTATCTCCCTCCTGCCTCCCCTCTTCCCGTTCGCTCCCCGTTTTCTATTCCCGCTCGCGCCTCTCTACCTCAGTTCCTGCCTCAACCTCCCCCATGTTTTATCCACCCATTCTTCATCCCTCCTTCCTCCTCCCCTCCTTCTCCCTTTCCTTTGCTACACTACTTACCCCCCCCCCGTTACAGGAGGTCTCTCATGGTAATGCATGACGACAGGCTGTTGTAACACATGAACCTGACTACACCCAACCCGTTCTCGCAAATTCGTAAAGTCAATATTGACTTATTAACTACGTGCATAGGTGATATACTAAACATAATAGATACCCTTAAAAAGCTTCATAGAAAACACCGACCTTACCTAACCTTGTTAGTATCTTAAGATAAGCATCTTATAGCTTCGTAATTACAATTATTACTTAACCTATACCTATTATAGGTTAGGTAATAATTGTAATTACGAAGCAATAAGATGCTTATCTTAAGATACTAACAAGGTTAGGTAAGGTCGGTGTTTTTTATGAATCTTTTTAAGGGTATCTATTATGTTAAGTATGTCACCTATGCACATATTTAATAAGTCAATATTGACTTATTAAATTTGCGGGAACGGGTTGCTACACCACACCCTAGTGTAGTTGTAACACATGGACCTGACTACACCACACCCTAGTGTAGCTGTAACACATGGACCTAACTACACCACACCCTAGTGTAGCTGTAACACATGGACCTGACTACACCACACTCTAGTGTAGTTGTAACACATGAATCTGACTACACCACACCCTAGTGTAGCTGTAACACCTGAACCTGACTACACCACACCCTAGTGTAGTTGTAACACCTGAACTTGACTACACCACACCCTAGTGTAGCTGTAACACATGAACCTGACTACACCACACCCTAGTGTAGTTGTAACACATGGACCTGACTACACCACACTCTAGTGTAGTTGTAACACATGAATCTGACTACACCACACCCTAGTGTAGTTGTAACACCTGAACTTGACTACACCACACCCTAGTGTAGCTGTAACACATGAACCTGACTACACCACACCCTAGTGTAGTTGTAACACATGAACCTGACTACACCACACCCTAGTGTAGTTGTAACACATGAACTTGACTACACCACACCCTAGTGTAGTTGTAACACATGGACCTGACTACACCACACCCTAGTGTAGCTGTAACACATGGACCTGACTACACCACACCCTAGTGTAGTTGTAACACCTGAACTTGACTACACCACACCCTAGTGTAGTTGTAACACATGGACCTGACTACACCACACCCTAGTGTAGTTGTAACACATGGACTTGACTACACCACACCCTAGTGTAGTTGTAACACCTGAACTTGACTACACCACACCCTAGTGTAGTTGTAACACCTGAACTTGACTACACCACACCCTAGTGTAGTTGTAACACCTGAACTTGACTACACCACACCCTAGTGTAGTTGTAACACATGAACCTGACTACACCACACCCTAGTGTAGCTGTAACACATGAACCTGACTACACCACACCCTAGTGTAGCTGTAACACATGAACCTGACTACACCACACCCTAGTGTAGCTGTAACACATGAACCTGACTACACCACACCCTAGTGTAGCTGTAACACCTGAACCTGACTACACCACACCCTAGTGTAGCTGTAACACATGAACCTGACTACACCACACCCTAGTGTAGCTGTAACACATGAACCTGACTACACCACACCCTAGTGTAGCTGTAACACCTGAACCTGACTACACCACACCCTAGTGTAGTTGTAATACATGAACCTGACTACACCACACCCTAGTGTAGCTGTAACACATGAACCTGACTACACCACACCCTAGTGTAGCTGTAACACATGAACCTGACTACACCACACCCTAGTGTAGTTGTAACACATGAACCTGACTACACCACACCCTAGTGTAGTTGTAACACATGAACCTGACTACACCACACCCTAGTGTAGTTGTAACACATGAACCTGACTACACCACACCCTAGTGTAGCTGTAACACATGAACCTGACTACACCACACCCTAGTGTAGCTGTAACACATGAACCTGACTACACCACACCCTAGTGTAGCTGTAACACATGAACCTGACTACACCACACCCTAGTGTAGCTGTAACACCTGAACCTGACTACACCACACCCTAGTGTAGCTGTAACACATGAACCTGACTACACCACACCCTAGTGTAGCTGTAACACATGAACCTGACTACACCACACCCTAGTGTAGCTGTAACACATGAACCTGACTACACCACACCCTAGTGTAGCTGTAACACATGAACCTGACTACACCACACCCTAGTGTAGCTGTAACACATGAACCTGACTACACCACACCCTAGTGTAGTTGTAACACATGAACCTGACTACACCACACCCTAGTGTAGCTGTAACACATGAACCTGACTACACCACACCCTAGTGTAGCTGTAACACCTGAACCTGACTACACC